GGGTGGAGCAAGTGGGGTGCTCACTCTCAGGCTCTGGGGATGCACCTCGCCCTGAGTCCCCGCCTTGCAGGAGAGCTCAGGAACACACCTCGCTGGCTTGACTCCTCGGGTTGAACCTCGGTGCAGCAGACCCCAGAGTGGCCAAATTCATACTTTATGGAGCTTCTGCTTTATGCATTTGTGAATTGCACTCCAGACCCGGGTCCCTTCCAGATCTGTAACCTGGGCAAACTGCTGCCCCTCCCTGAGCTCTCCTCTGGGAATGACTGCCAGGTTGCTGTAAGGATTAAATAAAAACAAATTCCAAGTGCCCACAACAGGCCCTGAGACATAATCAGCCCTTGACAGTGACGAGCTGTTTCAATAGTGTTGCCATTTCAGTGGCTAAACTAAGGCAGCGCAGACTCAGAACCCCAGCTTTCTATTCAACGTCCCTTACCAGCTTTCTTTCCAGGAAATGGAAAGAAACGATGAAGGAAGAGTTGGGCACCAGATTCTGAGCTGAGCTGTGTGTGCGCACTACAGTGGGGCCTTGACTTACGAGTTTAATTCGTTCTGAGACCGAGCTCGTTAAGCAGCTCGTTAACTCAAATTACTCTGTCAACTCAATGCAAAAAATCAGCCGAGAGACAGCTAGTATCTCAAAACACTCCTTAGTTGGGACACCCGTAAGTCAAGGCCCCACTGTATCTTGTTTAGTTGGGTGATGTGCACTGGAGAGGACACTGAGGCCCGGGAGGTGAGAACGTGGACCCGAGTCTATACCACCAGCCGCCGGGCGGCGGCTGGGAGGGATCCCAGCCTGGCAGCCTGTCTCCAGGTGGACCTGACTTCAAAGCCCACACACTAACCACTGCGTTATGAGGCCCTGGTGCCGCCCAGACACCACATCAGCCCCACAAAGGCTCCTTCCCGGTAATTGAAGGGCGGGAATGCCCTTCCCAGGCTTGGCCTGTCCGTATCCTTAATGAGATCTTTCTCACTCTGGCTTCCCATTCTTTGATCTCCTTTCCTGTGGAGCCATTTTCTTCTGAACATGAGGAGAGGACACCGTAAAGAAGGGTTTTCTGGGAAAGCGATGTGTTTGTGGGGGAGGGAGAGGGGTGGGGAGCTGCCCTGCCCTCTGGGCCTCATCAGCAGCCTTGGAGAGCACGTTCCTCAGATGCCTTTGCTCTTCCTCCACCCTCTGTGCAGAGGTCACTCCAGCCTGGCCGGCTGCTAACTGGCCCTTCATTAGATGTACCTTCAGGCCACGCCCGGGTCAGAAGAGGCTGAAGCGCTCAGGCTGGAACCTCGCCTTTCCCTGGTTGTTTTCACCAGGCCAATCTGGTTTCCTACCCGCCCTCGCCCCTCCCTCTTCCTTCCTCCCCAGGCCAACCCTTTTGTTTGCTTCTTCCCTTTTCATTTTCCCTGGTTTCCAAGAGGTGCTTGGTGAGCAATTGCTTTTTATAATGTCACGGTTAATAAGAAGCCTGAGATTTGGAGTCAGGGGACATAGGCGTGAATATTAGCTTTACACCTTACCGCAAGGCCATGTAACTGAGGTCAGGGAGCCTTTGATCCTCTCTCCCTAGATTCTTTTCTGGGACAAGGGCCACCTCTGGCACACAGTTGTGGGGAGGATGAAATGAAATGACGGGGGACAGCATGTACTCCCATTGTTGGGATACAGTGAGAGCTCATAGATGACGCCCACCCTTCTTTCTTTTTTAAAAAAAATATATTTTATTGATTTTTTACAGACAGGAAGGGAGAGGGATAGAGAGTTAGAAACATCGATGAGAGAGAAACATCAACCAGATGTGCCCGCAACTAAGGTACATGCCCTTGACTGGAACCGAACCCAGGACCCTTCAGTCCACAGGCCGACGCTCTATCCACTGAGCCAAACCAGTCAGAACCCACCCTTCTTTCTTATTCCCTGTATTTCTTCACTCCTGGCGTCATCAATCCCTTTTTTTTTTTTTTTTAGTTTCTAAAACTGGCTAAATGTCTCTAGCTTCAGGGCACGGGGAAGAGCCCATGGACTTCCTGTTGTCACACCGCCCTGAGCAATCAGAAACGGGGCACTCCTGGCGTCATCAATCCCTTTTTTTTTTTTTTTTAGTTTCTAAAACTGGCTAAATGTCTCTAGCTTCAGGGCACGGGGAAGAGCCCATGGACTTCCTGTTGTCACACCGCCCTGAGCAATCAGAAACGGGGCTGCATCACAGACAGTGTCAGTGCTGCTGACCAACCTTCAGTTCACTCTGGCTGTCTGTGCTCGTGGCAAGTATGGTCATCGGTGTGAGACATTTTATTGACGAGAAAACAGTTAAGAAATGGTCTTGGTCCACTGATGAGCTCACGTAGCAATAAATAATGTGGCCTTGTGGGCAGCCACCCCAGACTCGGTAGTGTCCTAAATAAGGGTTATTGACCTGTGTTTGGACCGAGGCCTTTCTGCCTCTGGTAATGGGAGCAAATAGGTCCATTATCTTTAGAGTAATGAGCAAGGAAAGCTGAACTTGGCATGTATTCGCTCAAATTTTCATTAATATCTTTCAAAAGTACCCTTACTGCAGAAAAATTGTTATGGAGCAAGGTAGTTTAGAATTTAGAGTTAGGACCTATTTCCTGCTTTTCTCCTAATAGCCCTATGACGTTTGGCTAATTACTTGACCAGCCTAATTCTCAGATTCTTTATCTGTAAAATGGAGATAATCCTATATAATAAAAGCTAATATACAAATCAACTGAATGGTGGAATGACCGGTTGCTATGACAGGCAATGACCACCAGGGGGCAGACGCTCAATGCAGGAGCTGCCCCCTGGTGGTCAGTGCGCTCCCACAGGGGGAGCGCCGCTCAGCCAGAAGCCAGGCCCACGGCTGACGAGTGCAACGGTGCTAAGGACTCCTCATGGGAAGTCCCCTGGGGAACCATCTCCCAAGTCCCAGACTGTGAGAGGGTGCAGGCCGGGCTAAGGGACCCCCCTACCAGTGCACGAATGTTGAGCACTGGGCCTCTAGTAGTACTATATTCCTCATGGAGCTGTTGCGGGGATTAAATGAACATAACGTGTGCAGCCCTTCAGTGGTGGCCTGGCCCATACCGGACATAATGCAACAAGTGCTGGCTCACTTCTGCAGGGCATGCTCTTCTCTTCTCCTCCAGGTGGCCCAGGGTGGGGTGGGGAGAAGGCGGAGTCCCCGGAAAGACCACAGGACTCAGGGGCAGGGATGGAGTGACACGCATGAGACAGGGACTCACAAACTTGGAGTTGGAAGATGGCAGTTTTGCATTGTCTTCTAAGGGTTTTCTCTTTGGAAATGACTAGCTCCATGCCCTGTGAGATCACAGGGACGACGAGGGACTTGCCTGGTCCCCAACATGGGTAACAGCACCTCCTCCGATCTAACCCGGGCCAGGGCTGCTCAACTGGCATCGAGCAAGTTCCTTACGGACGTGGGACAAGGTAGGCATAGACACTGCGAGTCAGCGGTTAGAAACTGACTGAAACCTGACCGAGTACTTTTATGTCAAATAAATCTAACAATAAGCAGAAATGCATATTTTTGTATGTTTGTTATTTCCCCTATTTAGCAATGCATTTTTTAAAAAAATTAACCTTTGACCTTAGTGACTCACTTGCATTTTGCTTTAAAAAACTATGTACCACATGGTTGAAAATTAAAACAGTGGTCATTCACCTCTGAGCTGAGAACAGCACCGCCTAGAACGACCCAGACTTTTCTCCGGGTGAAGCCATTGTTCTAAGTCTCACTGTCCTTCAAGACAGACATTTGAGGAAAGACTTTAGTTTGAGTCTTTGTTCCTAAGAACAGGCTAAACTACTCATTTGAAAAAATTCTGGAATTATTATTGTGCGTAATATTAAGCTTTTATAAATATAAGGAAGAATTTTGAAGAATTTTCTCAAATATAGGGAAAAATTAAACATCAAGAAAAGTAAGTTAATTTTTAAATCAACCTTGTGAAACCCGGCACAAATCTTTATGAGGAAGATTGATATATATTGACACAGAGTGAGGCCCATGATGTTAGGTGAAAAAACAGTTGTAAAACTGTACTCGGAATATGATGCTGTATTTTAAACAAAAAAACTGTGCATGAAAAAAATCTGAATTAAAATAAAATAAATAATTGTTATATCTGGTAATGTTTGGCTTATAGGGCATGATTGTTTTTATGTTATGTATCTGCTTTGTGTGTGCATTTAACATTTTTACCATGAGTACATTTTGTAGTAGAAAAGGAAGTTTCATGTTGAAAAACTTACCTGCCACTTTTTCACTTTTTGGTTACTAATAAACCTAACAATGAAGTGATTTGGAGATGTTTTTCAAAAAAGACGGGGGCAGAGAGAGTCATCAGATAGCGGACCCACTCTGCTTCCATTTCCACACCATCTTTTTCCATCTGGGAGCCAAGTTCTACTTGTGCTTGCAAGGTACGCTGGCAATTCTGAGTATACCATGTCTTGAACAGGAAAAGGTCATTTCCATGAAAGGTACTTGCTTGGAAATATGAAGATCTCCCTGTATTTCATTTCCCACTCCCTCTTCCCATTGTGCAGGATAAAAAATGCCAGGTGAAATGTTTTCTTGAGTTTAAAAGACCTGTTTGCTAGTCAGCAAGACTAGGATGAATTACATGTTATAAGAAAACGTCCTCAAGATTAGAAAACCTAAGCATTCACATCAGTGAGGCAGTACACTACTGCATTTCATCAATTCTAAAACTAGTTCTTGTAAGACACAGCGTTATTTTATGCATCACTAGGAAAGAAGACTCAATTCAACTAGAACATGCCATCAATCAAGATGCACCTTGCTTTCAGGGATGTGAACATAAAAAACTTGCATCTTGAAATCAATAAAATACGGCAACACTTATGTAACTGAGAATCTGCAATCCTGTCCAAGATGATTACTGGAAGGAGAACACCTTAAACTGCTGTGTGTGAACATGAACTTAAATGGAAGAATACGGAAACATTTTCAGTAGCACACTTCAGTTTATTGACCTATGTAAAAATAATAGGTCTTAAAAAGTCAGAACAGTAAAAGAATATGCAAAAGGTATTTCTGTTTCTAGAAGGCTATACAAGTATGCAAAAGGAATGTTATTTTTTGCATGTCTTTTTTTGTTCCAATTCCCCTCCTCCCCAAACTTCATTTTTAATGATACAAATGACTAAGGACCAGTTTAACAAACCCACTTTATGTAAATACTACATGCTTTGGAATATAGATAGAAAATGTTCCAAAAAGTTGTTCAGAAACTGCTCTAGTCACAATATGAACAAGAAACCTGTATAAAAGGGGGGAAGAGCACCTGTTATGGAATTCTGAAGCAGAGTAAAGAAGATCTGGAATATGGAAATATTTGTTTAAAAAAACTCAACCATAACCACAGCTAATTAGTTCTTCCACGGAAAGTATGAGGTAGTTTTAGCCTCATAATTAAATCTACCGCAGCTTGGAGTTTTTGTACTTTTAATGACTAATCTGGTTTGTGTCACTTGGTGACTTAGACTACCTGTGGAATTCAGACAATAGCTTACTTTTCTAACAAGTCACCATTTTAAGGCACACAATTCATCTAAAATGATGTGCTTTTTTTTCTTTATTTTGTTTTGGGTTCTTTCCGTATCACCTCAAAATACATTTTCAAAATCTTGATTATAAACTTTCCATATCAAGTCTGCCATTTCAAATGACAGCCACGTTGGAGCGTTAACAGCCTGAATAACAGCTCCTCGTGCCACTGGAGCAGGAAAGAGGAGCGCGGGGACGGGGCCTGGATGCCCCCCAGCAGGTGGCCAGCTCCAGGGCCGCTGTGGGCCGGCCGCCGGGGGTCATCGCAGGGTGCCAGGCGGCAAGTCTGTCTGGAACCCACTTTCTGGTGCTTATGAAACCATCACTCTTTATAAAACCTAAAAAACATTTACACTCGTCAGAACTTCATGAAGACCCAGCTTCTCTTCAAGTAATTCTCCAATACTGTCCAATGTTCCTGTCCGGGGGGAGCAGCGTCCGTCTCCGCAGCTCACCCGCCGCTTCCTGAGGGCGAGCGTGGCCAGCGCTGGCCTCCCAGGCGCCATTCTGACTTGTGCTCTGACATCCCCGCCTTCGTTGCTGTTGGAGATCCTGACAGCACTTTGCACAGTTTGGGTTTGCCTTCAACAACTTTACTCCCTGACAAAGTGCTCACTGTTGAGGAAGGCCGAGCCCTCCCTGGGCCATGGTGGGCCATGGTGGCCCCCACTCCGCCGGGGAGGTCTGGTCGGGGACGGCAGGTGTCCGCGGGGCTTTGTGCGGCTGAGGGTGGGGTTCACTTCGGGGCAAGGGGAGTCCTCTTTTCATCCTCTGATGCCAAACAGCCTTCTGGGAAGATGAACACATTTCCAAGGCACACGGTGTGAGAACGCAGGGCAGGGGGAGTCCGGCTCCGCTCAGACTAAGGTCCCGGGCTTGGAGTCTTCATGCCAGAGGAGCCCCTGCTCGGCCGCCTCCAGGCCGCCCGCCAGCCGGCCCCCGTCCGCGCTGTCCAGGGCCACGGCCTCTGCGTACTGTCTAGGAAGGAAACCAGAACAGTCACTACCTGGGCCATTTTTGTTCCCACAGTACAACCACCACCACTCAGAGAAGTTAGTAGAAAGCGCTGTTAAGAAAAGTATCCAAAACTTGGAAATAAGGAAGGATGGCTGTCGTCCTGCATTCCATGCTAGAGTATTAGTTCTCTAGAGGCATACACGTCTGTCTAACTCACACTTACCACCGACTAAGACCCAGATTTTTCTAAGTTAGACGGTAACTTATATTTGTTTGTGTGGAGGAAAGAGAAGTGACCCCTGTCTAGAAGGAGAGATGATGGTAATGGTTGTACCGCCTGTGGGACGCCCACCGGTCTTGTACCTGGTGATTTCTCTCTCAGTGTGTGGAATACAGTCTCTGATTTCTCCTGGAACCAGCTTTACCATTATGTTAGTTCTCTCATAATGAGTTAAATAAGTCTGTGACACATGCCCATTTTCCATTTATGTGAGAGTCATATTTTAAACTTTTTAGAAGGTATTTTTGACAGCCACATTTGAAGTGTTCTTCCAATTAAGGGACTACCCCAGATGCTTTCCTCCAGGATAAAGGAATATATTTTGAGGGAGGCAGCAGCATCTTGGGACATATTTTAGATCCCTAGGGTTTATGGGTCAAGTGTAAATTGGAAACATCATCATATATACAAATTATAGGCATATTTGGATGGTATATCCCAATGAGAGCATCCTATTACACAAACCATTCCAATAAGCAGAACCTCATTCTGTAGCAGGTTAGAAGAGGTTAGGTAGTTAGTAGATTTCCTTTTATCTGAAATCGCAATGCCTTCTAGTAAAGGGAATAAACAGCCTTTGGGGAAAGAGCTTTGGGTATAAATACCAAGTGAATCCAGGCATTTAGTGGTTTCATATAATAAAGGAACAGTCGGATTTCCGTCACTCCACACATCAGCCAGGCAAGCAGGACGCCTGTGATGCGAGAGGCACACAGGCGAGGGCTGTACTTACAGCTGGCCACCCCTAGCAAGAGAGAATTTACCACTGCTCTCACTTCCGGAGACACAGCTGCTCTCTGGGACAGAAGCCCTTGGTTCTGCCTAGTGATAGGCAGAGTGAGACAGGGAAGAGGAAGGGAATGGAAAACGGGGAGTGAAAGAAAAGTTATTTAAAAACACAATTCGCAGCAGCAGAACCACGCTTTGACTAGGCTGTATAACAGGTGTAACAAGAGACTTGAACCTTTCTGACTCTGGAAAGTTTATGCCACTGACAATTCTACCACACCCTGGGGGAAAAGATCATTAAATAACACGCATTTTATTCATATTGATCTAATCACTGATTTATTGCTAAGCATTTCAAATCTTTAACTGAAGAGAAGATCTAAAGTTTTTCATCTTTACCTTGAAACTCAATTTCTCTTGTTTTAAAAATTATCTTTTCATCAATAATAACATGCAATTTTAGGGCAAAATTTCTAAAGCTTTATGGCCAATTTCTCTTGTTTTAAAAATTATCTTTTCAATAATGACATGCAATTTTAGGGCAAAATTTCTAAAGCTTTATGGATGGTTGCTATTATACTTGCCTATTGAATTGAGGAAACTATATGATAATTTTTTTAAAAATCCTAAATAGACATATGAGTGAAAATAAGCACTCCTATAACTGTGGCTGGGAGGATAAACTGGCAAACTTTTCTGAAAAGCAAGAGCTTTAAAAATATACTTTTCAATTTAACCCTTTATTCCTACTAATTGGAATAAATCCTAGGGAAATAATCTGGAATTTGGACAAATGTTTTGTACAAAGATATCAATAGCAGCATTACTTAAAATAAAAAGAAAAGAAAATCCAAAACTATTCAAATTCAAAATATGGGTAATTTTTAAATAAAGTATGATGTATTTATTAGTGGAATATCATATTGGTCACATAAAATAAAGATTAAAGAGCTTTTAAAAATATGGAAATGTGTTTATGTTATATTAAGTGAATAATTGGAATGTAGAATTTCATATATGACTAAAGATGTAAAACTGTATATATGGTACCATTACAACCATGTTAAAAATGGATACAGAAAAATGGGGGAAATGTGCCAAAATGTTAATAGCTGCTATCTCTAGAGGGTGGAGTTATGGGCAAACTATTTTCTACTTATTTATCTCTTTATTATTTTCTTAATTTTCCACCATGAGCTCACATTAAGTGCATATGCACACACACAATAAGGATCTTTAAATAGTTCTAATTTCCTGCCCATTGTGCCCCTTGGACCTCAGACTGCCCTGTGCAGCCACCGAGGCTGGCTGAAGTACACGGCCGACTCGCTAAAAGCAGAGGTTCCCTCAAGACGCAGCACTTCCTGAGTCCAGTGAGAACTGTGTAAAGGACACTATTACAACTGCTTCTACAGCGAGTGTTTTATAGCATTTCTAACTGGGTCAACAAAAGGGGGCAGTAGAAGTATATAGCCCTGGCCAAGTGGCTCAGTGGGTTAGAACATCGTCCCAATAAGCCAAGATTGTGGGTTTGATCCCTGGTCAGGGCACATACAAGAATAAACCAATGAATGCACAAAGAAGTGGAACAACAAATCGATGTTTCTCTCTCTCTCCCTTCCTCTCTCTGTCTAAAAATCAATCGATACAAAAATTTAAAAAGTATATAAACATGTATTATACAAGATGATTAGAACTGACTTGAAAAAAATCAACACAAATTCTGGGCCAAAATCATTTTAGTTCTCGCTCCTAACTCATTCTCAAGCATTATTTACAGAAATCTAAGCTATGTCATATCCTCTGAAGTATATTTTCATTAAAATTCTATTTTGAGCACAGCCTTTGTTGAGTTGAGACAATTGGACTAATATTTCAAGCCAAGAAAAACTCCTGCTGAACATGAAGGAGAAAAATTAGGCTTTTGGGGATGAATGTGTCCATTTGCTTGTAACACTAAGAGCTTTAATGAGAAACTATCCTCTGGAAGGCAGGGAAAGGTGGGTGGGAAGAGATCAACCAATGCATATATGCATAACCTGTGAATACAGACAATGGGATGGTTAGGGCCTGGGCAAGGAGAGGATGGGAGGGAGCTCAAAGAGGTTAAGGGGGTTAAGGGGTGGGGGGCTATGTAATACAATTAAAAAAAAGAAATTAACCTATCAAATTCACCAGTATAAAGCCCCTTATAAGTATTGCCTGTGTAAATCTCCCAAGCCTGAAGCATCTGATTAAAAGAAAGCAAAATTGAATTTCTAAAAATCCCAGAAAATGTTCTACTTCTGGGCACCGTGGGTGTGAATGATATTCTATCAGAAATTGATAGGGAGAAATGACCTCTTCAACCTTGACTTCTCTGTCACACGAATAATTGAAAAATGGGTAATTCAGAATTTGCAATCATTTTAACAATCACATTTTGACAAACCGTTCTTACATATTTCTTTAAATGTTTATAAAGAATTACTTTTTACAAACAGGACAGCTGGCTGTGTCTGTTGCTTCTTAATAAACATAGGGTCAGACACAAAAAGGCAGCAAGTGTTTGGAATGAAGCCGCCAACTGTTCATGAGGAATCCTGGCATGCACAGATTTTTCTGCAGCGGAGGTATTTCTCCTGCAAGGTTCCAGAAGAGTCTAAATCGATAAACCAATTACACGGTTTCAAGTACTGCAACTAAAATCAAAACCTTCAGACACAGAATTTAATGTACGGAACTCTAAGAACAGGGTCACATTTGAAGGAGCTAGATTAGGGTGTCAACAAACTTTTCCTTAAAGGGCCAGGTATTTTGGGCTTTGTTGGCCATACGGTCTGTCGCAACTACTCAACTCTACCCTCAGAGTGCAAAACCAGCCATCCATAATAGGAAACAAATGAGCATGGCTGTTTTCCAATAAAACTTTATTTATAAAAACAGGTGGCAGCTGGTTTTGACCCATAGGCTATCCTTTGCCACCCTGGAGCTAGATATTTCAGCCTTCATAAGGTAAGTCAGGGTTCCTGGGTTCCTGTGACCTGGAGCAGCGACTAGAGTGTCTGAGTGTTGCTTCCTCACCTGCCTGGAGAGGGCAAAGGACTGTAGAAGTTGCCGTAGCAGCTGGTGTAGGAAGGATGTGCTGGGGCCTCGTACTCAGAAAGCCCTACTGTCATCTGGGTCCTCCAGCTCCCGGAAACGTTTGTAGAAGACACTAGAAATAAAAATGGAAAAATAGACAAAATTACCGGTAATACTTAAAGTGAAAATTGTTTAAGCCATTTACACGTACTTTATCATCAGCTGTGTGCAAAACAGAGCTTAAGAACCAATGTCTGGAAACCACAAAGCTCCTATTCCAGTTTGGTCACTTACTGGCCGCATGACTGTGGGCAAATAGCTTACCCTCATTAAGCTCAGGTTCTTCATCTGAAAAGTGGGGATGATGACATAGATATATTCTCATATAGGGAGCATCAGGATTAAGTACGGTAATGTATGAAAACACTCAGCACTGTTCCTGGCACGGAGGAGGCACTCAATAAATGATAACTGTTAATGTTATTAATGGGGATGAGGTAAATGAAAAGACATTCTATTTTACAAAAATACCAAAAGTCGAGCCAGCTCCATTGAGACTCTCCCTGGGCTCTGGTGGCTGGCACGGGGCTTCGTCGGGGTAAGTGGCAGCTGAGCTCCTTTGCCTTTGGAGGAAGCGTTCCCCAGGTGAGCTGGGGCTTGACTGTTCCTCAGCCAAGGGCAGCCGGGTCACTAGGAGGATCCAGGCCTATTTCTTGCCTCTATGAGAAGGTGGACGGGTGGGGAAGGTAACTAGCATAGAAAGGATTTCAGGAAGAATAGGTTTGGTTCTACTGAGGGGCTGGCCTGGAACAAGGCAAGGGCATAGCTGGGGAGCCAAGCCCAGCGAATGCCTCCCCACTGGGCACTTGCTGTCCTCCCTACAGCCAGCCTGCTCCACACCTAGGTGCCCAGGCGACCACAGTGCCAGGCTAGTCACCCAGGACTCAGATAACCAGCACTGCTCAGGGGTCCTTGCAGCTGTCCTCATTTCTGTTCCTGGCAGCCAACTCCTCCTCCTCTCTCTCACCCACACAGCACTGTGACCCGTGTGAGACCAACATCCCCAAAGCCCGGATGCCACAGGTTTTGACCCAACGATGTCACACTCTTGCTGTGAGCTTCAGGAACGTTTCACCAGTCTCCGTGGTTAGGTCCACGCTGGGATCGAACTCCCACTCGTCACTTACTAGCATGGGGCGTGGGCAGGGCCATGTGCCCTCTTTAAGCCAGATGTGCCTCAGCTGTACAATCAGGATGATAAAATAAACACAACAACATCCATGAAGTGGGATCATGCACACAGAGTGCTGCTGCATGCACAGGGTAAGATGACAATACATGAGGCTGCCATTACTACTCAAACTGAGTCACCGAGAGCGTTTAGGTGGCTGGAAGGAACTACAAACCCCCGATAAACTGGCAAAAAATCGGAAACCTATCTGTGCATGAGAATGATACATGCCTGTTGTAATACATGCCTTTAGCTGTAAAATATAAGCAGGAATGAGGAAAAGTCCAAAAGGAGTTCTGGGAGCACCGATTTCCATCTCTCTCATTGCAGAGGCCATCTCTCTCAGTCCTTAGAAAGTGGCGCCTTTGGCCTGTGGGGCCAATCCAGCCGGTGTCAGCAAGGCTCGCACCGGGTCCAGATCAGGACACGGTAATGCCATCTCCCTGGCCCCCAACAGAGCCAGCTGCTCGGGGTGTTGCTGGTGCTGAGTTCCACCTGCCTCGCCCGGCCTCACCGTCCAGGAGGCACTGCCCAGCCCTGCGCCCGAGCCGCCCACACCCACCGTGCTTGGTGTTTCCTTGAAGCACTCTGCCCAGGTTTGGTTTCTGAGTTTCTCACGACGCCCTGAACTTTAGGGGAAGAAAGGCGTTTTCTAGATCAGAGCCATAAATAACAAGCAGTTACTACCGGAGCCTTTTCATGTGTTAGATGTGGTGACAGACGGGAAAGCACTAGCGGAAGTCCAAAGTCCTGCGCAAATAAAAGAACTCAAACCCAAACAGAAATCTCCATAGCAATGCCTCTTGTCAACAAGCTGATGAAACTTTTTTTAACCCTCACCCGAGGATATTTTTCCATTGATTTTTAGGGAGAGTGGAAGAGAGAGGGAAAGACAGAGAGAAACACTGAAGTGAGAGAAAACACATCGATTGGCTGCCTCCTGCACCAAGGTACATGCCCTTAATCAGAATCAAACCCAGGACCCTTTGGTCCGCAGGCCGGCGCTCTATCCACTGAGCCAAAGGGGCCAGGGCAACAAGCTGAGGAAACTTTTAAAGGAACAGTCTTCACTGACTATTACTCCATGGTTGGGATCCCTGTGCACACCTCACTAGTCATGCTTGAAGGAGGGGCAAGACTCATGCCCTTAGGGGTTCACACTGTTCAAAAATTCTTTCATTTCTTAGAAGCTTTAAAATTACTCAATTTTCATATATTCCTCTGGCTGCTAACCGAAGTGTGAGCTCACAAAGGCCAGGAGGTGCTCTGGCCCGGCTCCCCGCCTCCGGGATGTGCCTGCGGGTTTGCTGAAGTTAAACCACACAGACACTCCTCGTATCCACCCATTTCTCTACTTAAAGTGCTTGGCACAGCTGGGGTTGGGCGAATGTCAGCAGAGTTAGGGGCCCAAGTCAATGCATGAAGGGAACTCCGATCAAAACCTATCTTTGGAAATCCCTTAAATCAACCGTAAAGTGGACTATATTTGATTATTGAATTGAGTCAAGACATGCGAAGTTCTTCGAACAGTGCCAGGAGCAGTGCTCAGTAAATTCCAGCTTCTATCACAATTACGAGAAGCCGTACACAGGCACCAGAGCAGCCAATCGGACGGATCACCCTCCTGGTGGAGGACAGGAAAGGAGGCGTAATTGCTTTCTCGCACCTGAAGGCTTTAGCCTGCTCTTTCAACACATCAAACCCCAACGACCTGAACACAGTTAAGAGATGTGACTGTCACTATTAGGCCCAGGAAAGATACAGTATGTGAAGCCCCTAACCGAGGGCGTTCAATCTACAACTTCCTTCAACAGACCCATGCGGACTGTGTTCGTCGCAAGGCTGGAGGGCACTGCTTTTCTGTTGGCCATTCTTGCTGCGGGCGCGCCCAGGCTGCCACCCTCCTGACCTTGGCACTGGTCTCCTGATCCTCTCGGGGTGTGGTTTCGGGTGGGCGGGAACAAGGGACAAGTTAAATCCGCATCAAGTGCCTCCTCTATCCTTTTTTCTTATTTAAAAAATATATTTTTATTGATTTCAGAGAGGAATAGAGAAGGAGAGAGAGATGGAAACATTAATGATGAGAGAATCACTGATCAGCTGCCTCCTGCAGACCCCACACTGGGGATCGAGCCCACAACCCGGCATATGCTCTGACCGGGAATCGAACCGTGATCAGCTGCCTGCAGACCCCACACTGGGGATCGAGCCCACAACCCGGCATATGCTCTGACCGGGAATCGAACCGTGACCTCCTGGTTCAGAGGTTGACGCTCAACCACTGAGCCCCGCTGACTGGGCACGTGCCTCCTCTGTTCTTACCTGAGGAGTAGGAAGACGCGCGGCTGCCCGGAGAGCAGGGCACCTGCAGCGCCGCCCACCCCAGGCATCGCTGGGAGCCCCTGTCCGAGTCCACGCT